AATACATTTATTTTAATATTTATTTTTATTGTTATATAATTGTAAAATGTTACTTCTAGTAAAACTTATTTAAAAATAATTAAATTTTGATAAAATTTAGTATTATATTTCTTTATATTAATATAAAATTTGTTGTAAAAATTAGCTTATATTATCCTATGTAAAAATGTAGATATATGATATTTGTTACGCAAATTTTCTTTCTGATAAAAATTCTGAAATTCAAATTATATGAAATCTTGATTACATAAAAAGGTAAGTTCAATCTTAGATAATTTTTTTTTAAATCAATTTAAACCACTTTTATTTTTGTATAGATAAATTAAAGTAGGATAAAACTTTACTAATTAATAATAAAAGAAGAATGATAATTAGCACTTATCAATTTTTTTTAGACATAACATAATATAAAAAGCAATATCTAAACTATTATTACATAAGCAGATTATCTTAGTTTTAAATATTAAAAAAGTTATAGTTGCATAAGTAATTGCCAAATGGAATCAAAATATGGATTTTGTAGAATATAGAAAACTAGTAGACCAAAAAATGAACTTGATACTAATATCACAGAAGTCATATGTAGTTTAATTATACCAGCAAATACTACTAGTATACCACCTTTAACAGCTATTTTAAGACAAAAATTAGAAGAATGTGATTATTAACTTTCAAAATAGCAGTTACTTTAAATATTACATATTTTAGGTGTCATAGTAAATATTAGAATATTTACACAAATCATCTGTAAATATTGCCTTTTAAAGTCATTATTAAGAAAATGTTTAGGAAATTTATAAGGTAAAAATAATATTCTAAGTAAACCAAAAGTTTTTTTGGATAAATTCTATTGTTATTTATATCATATTATAAGATACATATAAGTATTATATTATGTAATTATCTATTCGTCTAGACATAATCTTTAATTATTATATTTAGAGTAATTATTATATTTCATAATGATGATACTAATAAGATTATGATGAAATTATACCAATTCTATTTTATTATGAGATTCAGCAATTAAACTACCTTCTTTAAAAGGAAGAAAACGAATAGATGCAGATGTTTGGCAAGATATTTCTGGGATTATCTGTAATTCTAATCTTATGGCTGATCAGATAAATTATCATGATAATTTTAATGATAAAATTTTTGAAGATATTTTTGATAGGTTTTATGCATCTATTAGTAACTGATATGAATCTATAGATATTCATATAGATAAAGTTCATTATTATAAAATCAGGTTGAATAGGTTCTAATATCAAATTCAAAAAAAGATATATTAATTGCATGGTTGATGTCAAAGGGTATTGAAATTCCAAAACGTACTAATAAATTAAAGCTTTATGAATTAGTAAAACAAAATAAAACTAATATACCTTTTGCATGTAATCTAATAGTTATTATACTCCTTTATATTATTGTGAACTTCAATCGATTGATGGAATTTAGGCAGTTGTAAAAGGAGAGGTTGCTAGAACTAGTTCATACCTTAATCTTCTTGCTGTTAAAAATAAATTATTATTTGCATTTAAAGAGAAGGTTACCTCTAAAACTATCATTGGATTTTGGAGAAAATCTCTTATTAAAGTAAAGGAATATAGAGATTTAAATGATGATATAATTTTACTTGAAAGTGATAATGAAGATTTTGCAATTGAAGAAATTGATACTTAGTAAAATTTTTTATTGAAATATAATATTTTAATAAAAATTATATTGAAATATACTTTAAATCTAAGATGATAAATTATAATTTTTAAATATGATTATTAATAAATAAAATTTTTTTTAATTATTAATATATTGGTGTATCTACATTTTTGCACCGGACAATATTATGATTTAAAATATTTTAATCGAAGCTAATTAACATAAAAATACATTGATTTTTTTTATGTAATTGCAAAATGTTGCTTCTAATAAAATTTACTTAATAATAATTAGATTTTGATAAAATTTGGTATTTTATTATATTAATATAAAGCTACCTGTAAAAAAATTAACTTATATTATTATGTAGGATTTTTCAATCGTAGTAAAATTACATTGATTTTAGAATTTTTTTTTATGTAATTGCAAAATTGCAAAATGTTACTTCTATTAAAACTTAATAATAATTAGTTTTCGATAAAATTCAGTATTTTATTTCTTTTTAATATAAAGCAACTTGTAAAAATTAACATATATTATAATGATCGGCAAAAGATCGACAAAAAAATTCTGACAAATATTGATATAATTAAGCTCATTCAAGTAAGTCTGGGAATAAAGAACCAAAGTAAATTTATTAAATTTTCAGCTTAGTGGAAAATTTCCAAAGGAGAATTGATTATATTACAGGATGTTGTGGTTCGACAGAGGAAACTTTGGCGCTGATTTTTTATTACTACTTATAATATTCGACGAATTACTTACAGAAGTTTTTACAACTATTAACAGGTCAAGGAACTTTGACAATTTATTCCATGTAAATATTAATAGTGATTACAAATCACTGCGAGTGAGCGGTATGAGAAAAACTTATCATAAACTAAGAGAAGAATGGTTAAAAATTTTAAATAAAATAATTGCCCATGAACCTGATAGTGGGGAATTTCTTTCCTTTTCTCCAAAAAATTTTTTAAAATTTTAAAATGTTGATTGACGAAAAAAAATCAAAGAGCAAGACCTCTCTTTTAAAAGAAGAAGCTGAAGAGATTAAAGAATATAATTTTCATGTTTATTTTTTCCAGGTATTTTTGGTCTATATACGATACATTACAGAGAAATTTTGGAAATGTATTTTTTTTACTCCTAATTATTACGTCAGGATAATGAAAAACATCGTGCATCAGCTCTCGCCCTACGTGAAAAGATATCTGAATTAGTTGAGAAAGGATTTTTTCATCCTGTCCCGTATAAAACGGTTAACTATGCCCCACTAGGACCTCATTTAGTCGTGCGTTCACTTTTCCAATTACTTTATAAAATTTCGTGGTAAATTTTAATAAAAATGAATTGATCAGCTTCTTGTTTAGGGATCATATGAAGTGTGGTGTCCTAAAGAACATTTCTCTAGGGTATATTCATGGTTCCTTCTTCATCGTGGAATTCATTCTGTTCTTATTCACCCTTTGACCAAAAAGGAGGTTTTAGATCACACCGATAGAGCGGTATGGATGGGAGATTCTTTTCCTCTGGACTTGTCGATTCTTCACGATTTAGATCAGGTCCCTTTACAATATCCTGAGCTTGGACTTGGATATTCTGCTTCTAATGATAACCAGGGTGAAGTCGAATAGGTTTAGTTGAAATTTTTGTTTCAATCCTTACTCAAATAAGTTAGTTTTATCCGTGCGCAGACGTATATAATTAAATGGATGACAGGCAAAAAAAAAAAAAACCTATCACTGTGTATGTAATAAAGAAATTATTTTATGTTGTGTAAAATACAATAAATCTCGTTGGTTTCTCTTTTAACGATTGTCCGACAATCATTGTGTTTCAAATTTTCCCTAGATTTCCAGTTTAACATAGTAATTTATTTTAAATTTTGACTTTAAATAGAAAACTAATCATATCTTAAAAGGTTTCAGGATTTCGTGATTGATAATTAGAATTGGGATGTCTTATTCAATCTTACCCAAAAAATCTCAATTTATTTACAAATTGAGAGAAAATAAAAAAAAAATTGTTTGTTTTTGTGTTAGTGCAACTTCTTCAAGTTCGTATGCAACATTCAGGTCTATTTAGGAAGTAATTCTAAATCCCTTTTTTCTTAAATAGACTGTTATGGTAATAACCTACTTTTTTTTTTTCTCTCGTATAAAAACTGTGATACTTTAAAAAATTTATATTTTCATTAATTCGTTGTCTTTTTATTGCAACCAAGAATAAAAAGAAAAGAAAGAAACAAACTTTTCCCATTCTTTTTTTCTTTAACTTTCGTGGTGATTTTTTTATTTTTTTTTAATAATAAAATTATCACGATAAAGTCAATCCTTTAATTATTTAAAGAAAAAAATGGCAAATTTATCCGACACTAGTTATCTTGGTAAAAAAAAAAATTTTCACCTTTGATCCCAACCCTTTTCATTTCTTTCTTTCTTTCTTAAGATAAATAAATATACACATATATATAACTAAATTTAACTTTTTATTTTTATTCATAACAGCAAGAATATGTTATATTCCATTTGTTTTAACTTGGCAAGTTATTCTCACTCTTTTTAAAATATATTTTAATTTATTTATAAATTTTTATATTTATATATTAACTTCAAACCATTTTTTTTTATTAGGATGATTATTCGAATATGGCAAACAAATCGATTGGATTCCTTTTCTTTTCCACATTTAGTTCGACTTGAACCTCGTTCCCTATTCACCTATACATTCTTACTCGCTTTACTTGTTCAGCTTGCACATGATGTTATAATTTATTATATTCAAATTAATGAAGGATACTTTAAGGAAACGATAGTAGAAATGCCAGAATCAGCGAAGATTCTGCAATTGAACAAGTTGGCAAAATATTTGGACTCGATATCGATTAGTTTCACCATGTAAGCAATATAAATAATAATAAAATAAAGTAATACGGTACCTGGTGATCGATAACTGCGCCACAAACTTACCAAATTTTTTAATTTAGATCGAGCCTGCTTTCTTTACAGGCTTTCTGGAGTTGTGTCATGGAAAAAATTTCCCGGAGTAACTATGAAAGCATATGTGAATATTGGATATATTTGGTGTTAGGCGTCTTACTACTTCCAGCGTAAGTTATGAAAATTGGTGCTGCGCCTCTTTGAGCAAAATTTTAATCAATTCGGATTCGTTTCTATAGGTTTCCCATCATCGCTTACGTATTCGATGCTTTGATTCAAAAACCAAAAATTTTAGAGAATGTTCCGCGCCTTTCGGTTAGCGTCATTGCGTTAATATTATGTTTTGTTGGTGGATTACGCGTGAATTTTGAGGTTAATAAGTTGTTGAATTTAAACTCTCGACATATATTAAATCAACAAGACAAATTAAAATACTTTGGAGATTTAAATATATGGTTTAATTTTGCGCTTTTCATTTGGTCGGCAAGTTATATAATATTAAGTTTCAATGGACTGGTATCCTTAAAACTGACGCGTTTTATAAGTGACATCTTGATCGCTCATGTTAATTTTGGTGGATTCATATTATATATTTGCATTATATTAATCGTTTATCCGGATTTTACAATCGAGCAAAAGCCAAGAGCGATTTCCACACCATTTGACGTATCAAAACCAAATAATGGTATCGACATTGCTGAAATAATAGCAAAAAAAGGACCAAGTGGAGTTGAAGATTTATTAATGAATCAAATAATAGTTGAAACGAGACAAGACGTTAAAGTTGAACAAGCATATATAAATCCATATAGATCATTATCTACAACCTTGCCCGCAACTCCGTCTTCATCCAATCATTTGTCGATGGACTCATTAGCTCCTATGCCATCTCCATCTTCAACGTTCGCTGGAAATTCCAAAAATAAGAACCAGCTTAGATCTTCACCTTTAAATGATGCCTCTAGTCAACAAACTTTGGATGAGCATTCAACTTTAACGGATAATGGTGGTAGATTTGAAGATGATGAATCTTGGCAACAAGTTGAAACTTTGAATGAATCTCAATTCCAAGTGGAAAATAACGATGAGGATATGCCTTCGACGTTTGGGCGCAATCGTAATTCTGTGTAAAAAAGAAAAAAAAAAAACTGTGCTGAAGGATATTAACTAGTTACCGTGGATATTCATTCTTTTTATTTTTCTCTTTGTATATTTTGATACTTACACAGGTCAGCAATCTTATTCATCATCACAGCAGAGCCGTGATAATGAATTGCATGTTCTGCGAAATAGCTATTGTTACATATATCATCATTCCTTCATAAATATACATACAGTATATACACATATACGCATATAAATTTTCATTTTTTTTTTTTTTTTTTGGTCTGTTCGGTTTAATGTGATCGATTAGAAAATTTCAATTTAATCATGTTTCTTTTAAAAAATTTTTTTCTTTTCCACTTTGTATATTATTGCGCAATACTTTTTTTTAATCATCATTAAAATGTCTATTATAATACACGTATAATTTTGTGTACTACCTGATTTTTGTGCAAACGTCATAATTTCTGATCCATGAACTACTTTGATCATCTGATGTGTCATACGAACATTTAAGATAAATAGGTGCCTTGAATTTGACAACTGTAATCCTTACACCAACTTTTCTGGAAAATGGTTACGACTTTGTCAGATTTACCTAACGAATTATTATTGAAAATATTCATTTACATATTGCATGTTAATAATGATAATAGGTTGGTATCATTCCCTTTAAACAAAGATTTTCATTTTGATGTTGAATCGTCTTTAATTGTCTATTAATTAGTTACATTGTTTTGTGGAGTCTTCGAAGAACGTGTAAAAAATGGAGAGCGCTGATTCCCATCGTGATCAATGATGACATACATGGTAGATTCGGAAAGGATCTGAAGTTCGAAGTAATTAAAAAAAAATTTTTTTAAATATATGTATCTATTTTTTTTTCTGTATTTATATTAAATTTGTTTTCATTCCTTCTTTGCTATAAAAAAAAGATAAGAATGGATTTTACATATAAATCAAGTTATTTTCATGGTAAATTCGAAACATTTGAAAAAACAAGTACGTTTCAAATTGTAGAAAAATCGTCGTCGTCAGATACCGAAGAAGAATCAAAAGAAGGATCACCTAGAAGTATGAATCCGGGAGAAACATGCTGTGCAATACATTTGGAAATTACAGTAAAGCAATTTCCGAGCTCATTGCCATTTGGTTGGCGCACAAAAGAATATATTCCAACTATATCATTCCCGGACGAAAATGCTTGCGACGTTAAACAAGCAAAATTTGGTATGGGAATGATTATGGGTTATAAATTATCTCCTTGTACTGACGTTTTGGCTGATGATATATTCAGACTTCGAATAAGTAATAATAAAAACAGTAAGGGTGTCAATGGGGTTAATTTGAGTGAGAGGGGAAAAGATGATATTAATTCTTCGGGTTCGAATTCAAGTGGTGATGTTACTGTACACTCTAGTGTGGCTCCTTGTAATGGAATCGAATTGATCTATTTAAAGGTACCAGGAAAAGTTTTGTTGGAATTGGTGGATGCTTTGGATAGTCTCGCTGGTTCGTTTTTGAGTATTGGTGTGATCTAATTTTGTTCCATGCGAGAGGACGCATAATTAAATCTTCCTCCCCCTTCTTTTCTATTCTTTATAGATTCGAATAATGATAAACCGAAAACAAAGTTTTCTTTTACAGGAAAATTTTATAAATTTAAAAGATATGAAGACGTAACGGGGTATCCTTATATTCAAAGAAAATCACTAAATTGCTTAAGATAATAAAAAAAAAAAAACACTTGAGGTGTAATGATTGATATATTTACGAATTCCATGTTAAACTTCGGAGGGAACTTGATAAATCTTTTTTATTTGTGAAAATTTCTGTCTGTGGAAGCAGAGTTCCTCGAGGAACGATGCTAGGTCCGATAATTCTCATGTATATTAAATGTTGGTTTCAAAAATGAGTTAGTCGTATTATAATAATAATAATAATAATAATAATAATAATAAAAAATATATAAATATATAAAGATTATATAGTATTGCGATTAGGAAAATCAGTTCTCAAAATTTCGATTTTTTATGTTTTTAGCTTTAAATTTTAGTCAAAACCTGATTTTCCATATCAGAATCGTAGATCGTATTTATTTGATCATCCGTGTTGAAAATTTTTGACATCCCTTATTTTAAAGGAACTTTTCCTGAAAATCGCAACCATGTAATGTTTATATAATTAATTATAATAATAATTTTGTAACAATATGAAGGATATTGTCTTAATACAGCCAGTTATCATATGATATGATCGTCTTCACCGAAAGAAATTTTTTCGAAGAAAAATAAAAAATAAAGTAAAATAAAATAAAGGAGCCCTTTTTGAATAAAACAACGTCATTCTTATGCACAGTCTGTAAACGAATTTAAATTAACAAAATAGTAAAATAGATAATTTTAAAACCTTTGATTCATGATAATGATACCTCATCCAACGTTTTCTTCATAGAGTCTGAAATACTGTATGTCTGCATAAAATCGAAGGAAATGAAGGGCTTCGTATTCCATTATTTGCATTCCTTGTAAATGAAGTAATTAAGTTATTAGAAGTAAGTGATCCACCTAAAGTAACCTACAGCGTCGATGACATAAAAGTTATTCGTCAGCTTTATTAAAAAAAATTTTGAAGCCTTTTTTTAAACTTGCTAGGCTTGTTAAAGATTATAATTTCATTTCAAAAATTTTATTATTAAGAAACAAAAAAATTTTTTTTGAATTTTTAAGAATTTTGGTCGTACGAGATGGTTCAAATTACTAATCGAGTGAATATCACGTAAATCCGGTTAAAAAAAAAATGTTCATGTATAAGTTTAGAACTAACTGTTCCAATTAGTTGTGATGAATCATTAGAGGGCTCCATATAAATAAATTCAATATTATTAAATTCCCATCTGGGAATCATCCATGTAATAACTCTCGTACAATTTCTTGATCATGAACATTGTTCACGGATTTCATAATTTTTTTGGTTTGGAAATCTTTCGGTAAAAAAAATAGTACTTTTTTTTTTTTATTTTTATTATAGGATAATCAGAAACGTAGATCTAGCCAAGTACAAATAATTAGCATTGTTAAAGTGACTTAAATTTGAGCCATTGAAACAAAACTTCGCTAGTATTTACAGAGACTTTAATGAAAAAAACACAGATCGTTGCTGGTAAAAAATTGATAAATATCGGTAAAAGTATGGATAGTAATATCCCTACGATTATTAAAAAACTTATAAGAAAAATATAACGATATTCAATATTATTCCATCGCAATTTATTAAATAACATGAAAATCTCAACGATAAAAATCAGCGAATTCAACACTAATGAAAATAATTTTAGTTTTTCTTCATCATTTTTGTACTCAGTCGAAGCAAGAATAATAAGTACAAATAGGGCAGCCACGTTGAGACCACAGCCAACTAAGTTTTGACCAAGGTCCTAACGAAAAAGTTATGTTAAGAAACGACGAAGGCGTTAAAACAGTTTTAATAAAATATTCTAACAAAAATATGTTGCTTTTAGCTAAACATACCGATTTTTCTTTCCAAGATCTTTCTTTGACCACGAGTGCTTGAACAAATACAATTCTAAAATTATCGTCTCGCAGGCGGTTAAATGCCATTCTTTCGGAGAAATAGCATAGCGAACTTTCGATGTGATTGGCTAATTTTTGTTGATCATTTTGTTAATTTTTCTAAAATCTTATTGGTTGATAAAATAAAAAATTTTTATCATATTTTGGTTAACCATACTATTTTATTCAAAAATATCATTTTTTGCATGATTTGTCTTAGCTGAATTTCATGGCAACAAATAAGCATAATACTAAATTAGAAAATATAATGCCATATAGTATTTAGAGTTAGCTGGATACTAGTTCTTATTTTATTAACTTGTATTTTTTTTTTAAATTAAATGCTAATTTATTGTCTAATTTGAAATAACCAAGTAAAAAAAAATTTAATATGTATATTATTATTATAATTTAATAAATTTAATAAAAAAATTATATATTTATAAAAAAACTTAATGTAAAATCATTTCAATTTATATTTTTTGAATTTTTTTATAAGAAATCTGTTTTTATTAAAAAAAAAAAAAAAGATAATTATGCTTCATTTTAATTATATGCTTATTAAATCATTTATAGCCTTTTTGATAAGTAAATTTATATTACTCTTCAAAGAAAGATCTTTGATACTGATATTAGTATTATCACTAATTTCAGAACCATCCCTCTCATTTACATCCTCATTTATCTTTATTTTACCAGGTAATTCCAAAGTTTTCTGAAAAGCTTTACAATTATCTTCAATTCCGCTTATAAGAAAATCACCACAATACTGGCATTGACTTTCTAATTTAAGCAAAAAACATTTAAATGATAAGCATGTTTACAGATTAAAATGCAACTTACATTTTCAGGATCTATGCAACCTTCCAAATCGCATTGTCTGTCTTCTCAAGAAAGATGTGCAGTATTTCAAGTCATTGGTAATATCTTGATATCAACTTTAGCTTCTAATATTAAAAGTTCAAATAATTTGGATTTAGAACGTTTATTAAATAAAATAGCTTTTGATTTACTGATATTTGTATATACATCTGTAAATAAATTTAATAAAAAAAGTGCAGTGCATTTTTTAAGATATTCTAGCTGTTTAGCTGAATATCTAATATTATGATCCTCAGAAAATGTATTAGTAAACGAGTTGCCACCACGCATCTGATCGATCACTCATGCCTGTCGAATAATCTGATCTGCTGTGTTTGATTTCTGAATTTGTTGTCAAAGAGAACTATGAAAATTTTTCACGTAATAATCATTGAAAATGTGAAAAGAATCTGAAAGAATATTTAAAATTGGATAATTAGTATCAGATCAAATAAAAATATCACTTAAAAAAGCTAATGGTAATTTGTTATAATGTCGACGTTAATATTGATAAAAATAGCTCAAATACAAAACATGACTTCTTTGTATGCCATCCAATTTTCACTACGAAATATAATAGGATAAAAATCCAAAATTAATAGAATAATATTGTCTAATAAGTTAATAAGATATCTGACTTCTAAATCTTTAGACCATTCAAATTTTCGTAGAATTGATAAACGTATCTGAGACTAACCCTACTAAAAGTAAATTGATCTTATAAGGTTTTAACTTTTAGCTAATATCTTACGATTTTCATATACATTGTAAAAAAGCTTATCAAAAAATTGATAATTTAAAAGAAAAACTATTTCACGACTATTTAAGGATACATATAAAGGTCCAATCATTAGAACGATATGCAAAATTTATTCTGGTATTCCAGAAGAATCTCTAGCTTTGATGCAAGTAATAGAACATTGTACATGAAGTTATTCAGGATAATCTATAGGTGTTACTAATTCCTGTGTTTTCATATAAGTTTTCATTTTGGGAGTCTCTATTAAGTATTTAATTGCATTTATATAATCTTCAGTTAATTTAAGAGATCCTTCTTTTAGATCAACTAGCTTCATATTTTTTATACTTCAATTAGTATAACGTTGTTTAATCCTAATATCATAACTATAGATTAAAAGACATTCAACATATTCATCATGAGTTTCCAATGCAGGTATTAAACTAGCAAATGCTTGCTTTCATCCTGTATAACTAAGCCATAAATGAGAAAAGAAAATTGAGTAAGCATTTGATATAATAATGTTTACATCAATATCCCTTTCATTATGGACATTCTTTTCTTGATTATCGGGATTGTAAAATGGAATAGATACTACTTCTGGCAAGGCTTTTAAAAATATTATAACAAAATGAGCGATACTCATGGATATTGTGAAAATTATCTACATTGAGGACGACTAAGCTTTCATTCTGTTAAAATAAATAATTTAGCTTTAATTATAAAATAAAACTTTTAATATATTTATATACATACATTGTTAGTTAAAAACCTTCCTACTGTTGTTGTGTATCCTTCTGAGTGTTGAGCTTTCTGTCTTGCAATAGTTATATACTTTACTGTCAAGCTCATACTAGCTAATGTCTCTATAGCTAATGAAGAAGTTCTGGATGCATCTAGTAAAAATCCAACCTCTGCTTTAATCCTGTTAATAAACTTATTATTAAGTTCTGCTAAAAAATAATAAAATAAAACCAATCTTCTTTTATTCTTTTCGTTAGTCATGTTATTCTTAACTTGTGAGTTGATTCTAGCTATCAATTGATTAAAAAACCTTTCAACAATGGTTCAGCTTCCTCAAGCATTTTTGTGAATTCTTCTGGATCTAAAATGGATCTTTCATTATACACTCATTACCTTGTATACAACACTCCCACCATTAGTTTGATTTTCTTACTAAGAGGAATTAATTCTAAAAAAAAAAATAAAAAAAAAATAATTATATAAGAAAGAAGTTCAAAATGTGACTATAAACAAAAAATGATTTGCTTAATTTGCTTATCTAATTTCACTTCATTAAGCTCTACACATACATCGTTATATGCAGCTTCCAGTTCCTAAAATTCAGCTTCAGAATAAATAATATTAT